GTAGCAATTAGAACAAAATTTAAGCTTAATTCATGTAGAATTTATGTGATTGGGTATTAATTGGCTGCTGTGAGGTTCTAGAGAAAAATCCCGTGAATTAGCTATTGTTTTGCCAAAGCCAGTTCCTCCATGCTGTTCGTGAATTTGGAGAATTTTGTATATGTGTGTTTATGTGCATATATATAAATGCACAAGCTGATTTTTGGGCTCAAATTTCAGATAGAAGAAAAATAAGGATAAATAAATAAATAAATAAGATTTCTTTATGGGATTAATGGCGGGCAACAATAGAAAGGTTTAAATGTTTATTTTATATTGAGAATAAAATTGAGATGTCTGGTCATATGGTTATTAGTTCTGGAATATTTTGGTTAGGTTCTTAATTATTCTGTCACCCTAGCACTTGGAGTGAGTTTTCTGTGTTATGCGAGGTAAGTAAATTATGGTAACGGCCTTCGATTTCAAAATAAAAGCATATTTTAAATTGTTTTTGAGATGGTGGCAAGGTTTAAATTGATTTTATTAACACCTGAGCATGATTAGAATGGAAATGAAAATTTTTATTATTTTGGGGTTGAGCATGCCCACATGGAATATTTTTGGTTTATTCTTGAAATTTGAGATTGATTGTGAATTACGGATTTTTCTTGTAAATCCTGCATGGTTTTGTCTCTAATATAGTCATGATTACTGATGCCTGCTAGTGGGAGTTTGCAAATGCTAGCACATGTCGACATGTATACCAATAGGACCGATTCGTTCTATAATCCTACCAATGGGATAATACATTGGTTATTACTAACGCCTATCAATGGGAGTTTGTTAAACACTAGCTATGACTTATAGATGAGACTACTACTGAATCTTATTCTACATTAACGGTTTATCATTGAACGTTTTGTTATGTTAAATTATTTATCAGGCATGCTTAAATTTTACTCACGGGCTATCCATATTTTTACTTATGGAGATATCTTACCTCATAGTTTTCCTTGTCCACCATTTTAGGAAATGAAACTCGAGACACAGTTAACCAGGGGGAGTGACGAGCTAAAAAGCGAGTCAGTATTTTGGACTTGGATCCTTTTTGGACTTAGGCCATTAGCCACACATGCTTGACATAGATGTGAAATGATAAATCATTTTTTGTATGCTGAGTTTCCCTTGGTTATAGCTATGACTGTCTTATAAACTTTTGTACATCTTGACTAGTAAATGTTTGGTAATTGTAATATCCCAAAATTTCTAGAATATTAAAGTAGAGTTGGGGATTAATTTTTGAGGAAATATTATTAATGGCCTTAATGATAGAAAACCCTAAAGTTGAGGGACTTAAAAGAAAACAAATTAGGATAAGGATCAAGCTTGGATATTTTTTCTTTTCTTCCTCATTGCACGCGTGTCTGCTCTGTTCTTCTTCCCGACTCTTCCTCCCGACAAGCCCCCAAGCCACCGACTCTCTCCCCCCTTGAAAACCCGGTGAGATCTTGATGAAATTCCTTCCTTTTCTGGTTCAATCACAAGATTTAGGACCTAGAAATCCCTCCTAAACCCAAAAATTCTAGCTCTGTTCTGCTCTTCCTTCCCCTGTCCGCGAGCTGCTATTGCCGGTGGAGAGCTTCTCGGTTTTTCTGGTAAGGGAACAATTAGGAAATCATCCCTTTAGCCTTAATTCAAGTTGGGTTTCACTCTAATTGCTCTTATTTCCTTCAATTTTGTGCTGATTTCTCTCCAATTTTCGGCAGCTTCTCTGACCGCCAGACCCAGCTTTTGCTTGCCGGAAAATTTTGGTAGGTTGCCGGCTCTTCCAAGTCCAATTTATCCATGTAGTTGCTGCCTTGTGTTGATTGGATTTTCTGCTTATGAATTGCCCTTTTTGCTGTCCGAAAATGGAAGAAATTTAGGTGAAATTGTGCTGGAAGGTGGAATGAATTTTGGTAGCTTTAAGTGGGTTTTTGTTTAATTTAAGTGGAGGTTAGTTTGATTTGTTGCTGTACGAAATTTTTCTGTTTTACGAATCACTGTTTACTGGTATCGTTCGGGAATCACTGTTCACGCAGGAAATTTTGCAATTGGCTGCTGCGTTTTCTGTATTTTTTGCAAATTTTTCTACAAACTGGCTGCTATGTTTTCTGCACTTGCTGCTGCATTTTTCTACAAGTTGCTGCTGTTTTTACTGTTCACGCAGCAACATTCTGCATTTTCTTGCACTGTTTTTGACCAGAAAACTCTGTATTTTCTCCAAAAAAATTCTGCATTTTGCAGCATTTTTCCTTGCTATTTTTCTGCATTGTTTTTCCCCCAAATTTCTTGCCATTTACCGCAAATTTCTGCTCCTTGCCAAATTCTAGAAATTTCAGTTATTGTTCATGGGCACTGTTCATGCGTTGAATTTTAATTAATCGGAGTAGAAAATCTCATGGAATACGTTAGTTATGGCATTGGATTAATTTTGGTCCAGTAGTGAGGTATTATTGATTGGGGTTTGTTTGGTTGTTGAGAACATGATGTGAAAATGAAAAGGGAAATAGTTATTAATTCTAGATATTTTGATTAGGTTTCTGATCGTTCTGGCAGTTTGGCACTGAGATCGAGTCTTTGGCTTTATGCGAGTGAGATAAGTAAATTATGGTAAAACCCTTCGATTTTAAAACATGTTTTAAATTGTTTTTGAGATGGTGGCAAGGTTTAAATTGATTTTATCAGCATATGAGTGTAATTAAATTGAAATGAAAATTGTGGTGATTTTTATGAAAATTATCATTTTCTGGAATTGAGCATGATTGGAACGAAAATGAGAATTTCATTGTATTTCTGGAATTAAGCATGATTGGAAGGAAAATGAGAATTTCATTGTTTTCCTGGAGTTGAGCATGCCCACATGAAATTGTTTTCATTTGCATTGAGTAGAGCGTGCCTATTTGGAATTGACTGAACTGTTTTGATGAATCAAGAATTTTGTAAATTCTGAGTTTTTTGTTAAATCCATACTCACATGGAAATTTTCCGGTTTATTTTGAAATTTGAGATTGATTGTAGATTACGGATTTTTCTGTAAATCTTGCATGGTTTTGTCTTTGATATAGTCATGATTATTGACGCCCGTCAGTGGGAGTTTGTAAACGCTGGCACATGTCGACATGTTTACTGATATGACCAGTCCACTCTGTAATCCTGCCAATGGGATAATACATTAGTAATTACCGACGCCTGCCAGTGGGAGTTTGTTAAACACTGGTACCATTACTGATGCCTGCCAGTGGGAGTTTGTTAAACACTGGTACTTCTGTAACCCTGCCAATGGGGTTAAACATTGGTTATTATTGACGCCTGCTAGTGGGAGTTTGTTAAACACTGGTACCATTATTGACGCTTGCCAGTGGGAGTTTGTTAAACACTGGTACTTCTGTAACCCTGCCAATGGGGTTAAACATTGGTTATTACTGACGCCTGCCAATGGGAGTTTGTTAAACACTAGCCATGACTTATAGATGAGACTATTGATGAGTTTTATTATGCATGAATGGTTTGTCATTGAAAGTTCTATTTGCTTACATGGTTTATTTGGCATGCTTAAATTTTTACCAAAGGCTGTATATATTTACTTACTGAGTTATCTCATAGTAGTTTTTTCTTGTCCACCATTTTAGGAAGCAAAACCGAGGACGGGGAAACCAAGGGGAGTGACGAGGTAGAACCGTAGAAGGCTAGCCATTCTAACTGGATATAAGTCTTAGATTTTATTATCTTTTTATAAGGTAGATTTTGTTCTGGAGATTTTGTGATTTGAATAAGTTTCGAGCCTTGTGCACTTGTGGGACCCGTCTCATGAGTGCACGGCATCTGCCATGTCTCCTGATTTGGGTTCTAAGGCGTGACAGATTGAGTGGTATCAGAGCTTAGGTTTAATTAAGATTTTGTGATGTCAAAGCCTAGGTTTAAGTAAATACCTAGGATTTGTTTTGGATTTGGCTAGCCAATGGATTTTAGAATCGTGGTGAGACGAGTGATGGGGTTATACAAGAGACGATTCTGATTTGTGTTGCCTGAATTTTCTGATTCACTTTGATGAGATAGTAATTCAGTTAATACCTATTATCTACCGATAGTGAGAAGTTTTGAAATTAATCTTGCTCACTATGCTCTTAGGACCTTGTTTGAAACTTGGTCCCTTGTGATAGTATGCTTGGTTTTGGTTGTGGCAAGATGAATAAGATCTTCCACATTAGGTCTGTTTGTTAAGTATTCATTTGGGCATTCATATATGAATGCAAACATAGACATACATGAGCATAAACACGCATACATGCATGCACACATGGGCATTCATGCATGCACACATGGGCATTCATGCATGCACACTTGGGCATTCATGCATGCATGCATAAAGGCATTCATTCATATATGCATATACATGCATTCATCCATTCATGATCCTATATATCTGAGTGATGCTTATCCGTCTCGAATAGGGTTCCATCTTTTAGTTGTGGTTTGATACCAGAGTGGCACAACGGAAGCGTAGTAAGTTGTGTTCTGTTCATAGAAAGTCAATGGAGGCATCTGTTTTGTCTTGGATTATGTGAAACCATTCACCAATCGAAATGATCTCCAATTTGAGTTTTGGGGACAAAACTCCTTTTTAGGAGGGGTGGATGTAATATCCCAAAATTTCTAGAATATTAAAGTAGAGTTGGGGACTAATTTGTGAGGAAATATTATTAATGGCCTTAATGATAGAAAACTCTAAAGTTGAGGGACTTCAAAGAAAACAAATTAGGATAATGGTCAAGCTTGGATATTTTTCTTTTCTTCCTCATTGCACGCGTGTCTGCTCTGTTCTTCTTCCCGACTCTTCCTCCCGACAAGTCCCCAAGCCACC